GATGCTCTTCGCAGCTTAGGACAGTCAATTCCGGTGGCCCTCAGGGCTCCGTTCTATCCCCTACACTTTTTCTGCTGCATATCAATGACATGCTTCCACTTGAAAATATCCATTGCTATGCAGACGACAGCACAGTGCATGTGGGATATCACGGGGCTCCTACGGTCGGACGTGCGGAAATCCTGGAGAAAAGAGAGAATCTTGTCATTGAGCTCAATCACGTTCTGGATCTCATATCGAAATGGGGTGCTGAAAACCTGGTTGAGTTCAATGCCAAGAAAACTCAGGTCTGCGTATTTACCGCCAAGATCCCCCCATTCCCTTCCCTTCCCTCTCTTCAGGGCACAACCTTGCCTCTACAGAGCAGCATCAACATGCTCGGGATGGAAGTGCGCTGAGATCTGAATCCCAAAAACCACATCGAGTCTGTTATTAAAACTGCATCACGTAAACTCGGTGTCCTGAACAAGGTGCGGCGTTTTTTCGCGCCCGAACAACTGTGCCTGCTATACAAAACGCAGGTCCGGTCATGCGTGGAGTATTGCTCGCACCTTTGGGATGGCTCCGCTAGGTACTTACTCGATGCTCTGGATAGATTGCAGCGCCGCGCAGTACGCATTATTGGCAATGGTGAAGTCACCAAGAACCTAGAAAGCCTGCAACTGCGCCGAGACGTTGCTTCGCTCAGCGTCTTCTACCGTCTCTACCATGGTGAATGCTCTGAAGAACTCTTTTCCCTTATCCCCCAGCTCCCTTCCTCCTCAGGACCACACGTGCTGGTTTGCGTTGCCACCAACTAACTGTGGCAACGATTCCTTCGCGTACAAAGAAATTTGGCGACTCATTTCTTTGTCGTACTTCCAAAAAATGGAATTGTCTCCCGGCTCATGTATTCCCTCCATCCTATGACATGGGGTCCTTCAAGCGGGGCGTGAAGAAGCATCTTGCAGGTCGGCAAGGTGAGGTTGGCTAGTGCAGTACCTACGTACTGTTTTACACTAGCTGTCCTCGCGTTTGGACTGCGCCTCCACTTACCATCAGGTGGAGCGCAGTCATTTGCCCTCCATTTTATATATAAAAAAAAAAGGAATATCACTGTCACTGAACAACAAATCGCTAAAGCAAAACCCCTTATTGAACAGGGTACAAGTAAACGTACTGCTGCAGGAGCCATTGGTATAAGCGAGTCATGTCTTCGCAAAAGACTTAAATTAAACGTAGCTGCATCTTCAATGGGTCGGTTTAAGCCAACTTTTAATGAAAGTCAAGAGGCAGAGTTAGCGATTCACTGTAAGCAAATGAATTGAGAATCGCTTTGACAAGTCATTAAAAATGTTTGGAAGCTGTGAAGGCGAAATGTTTGACTCTGGTTAATTTTCATTGAATTTACTAAATAAGATAGATAATTTTGGTGAAATAAGTTTATTTTCGGTGAAATTAACAAATGCGTTCACTTACCCAAAGTGCGTCTATTTACCCCATAGCTATGCGCACACTTACTCACAATTCGGGTCAAGTGTTCGCATTGTGACTTTCAGTTGTTTTTACCTGTTTGAATGAAAACTAAGATACTTGCAGATTTTGTTTGTTTTTCAAATTAAAGTCTAATAAATGTTTATTTCAATATTTTTCTAATTACACTGTTCTAATTTACAATGAGGTCCCAAAGGTAAAAGTGCGCACACTTGACCCGAACGACTCTACGCTTCGCGTTTTTCAGGTGTCTCCCGAGACCGACCGCTTTCCGTCCGATCTCTTTCTTTGTCAATAAAAGTCGGTCGGTATATGTCTGACGGAAGACACGTTGAGTTTTATTTATTGATATAAAAAAAATATACATATTTTAATATCGACTTTCCACACTCAAAGGAAATCGTCTACTAACACATACTTGCGAGAGGTGCTTAACTGAGCTTCCGTCAGATTTGAACGGCCTTCATCATTATCATCAACCCTTTTATGTCACCAACTGCAGGAGCCTTATGGATTAAGGAGGATGGGCCACGACCCTCCATGCTGGCCCAATGCGTATTGGAGGATATTAACGACTGCAAATACAACAGGGACCCATCGCTTTACGTGCCTTCCAAAGCTTGGAGTTGTTTAAGATAATATTTGTTTGATTTGGTTTGCAATAGTTGCTTAACAACTACAATCGCGAGCCATGGCAGTTATTCACTACGCCACCGAGCTACTCTGAACCGATCATCAGACTCGCGTAATATTATATGTGTTGTGACCAATGAATCAACCATTTTTTCCGGCGAACACTGAATATACCAACTTTGAAGTTCGTATCTACAGTGAATTTGTATGTCAAATAAAATCAAAAATAGTATTAACATAAAAATAGTAATTAGAGAAAAAAACTTCAGTTAACGTGAATCTAACTTTTTTAACGTCGTCTGAAAGCATCTGACATTGTCTCTGCTACGTGGCAAGCAACAGGGGGTGAGTAGGATTTTCCTCCGTGAACCCGATAGTGAGCTGCCCAGTGTGTCCCCAGAGGCCTACCCACCAAAACCCGTATGCTACACCGTCTCATGGGAGACGAAACCCGGCAATCTATGGCCGCGTCACCAGAACACTCATGTATTTGGTCCCCTTGCAGATGGAAAATTGGAGAGGCTCTGGTAAATCGAGTGCCTCTCCCAGACAGAAGAAACCGTGCAATGTGGGGGCTGCCAACCACCTCCGCTGGCTCCTACGACGACGTGAACCTAATCTGATAAAATATGCGTTCACTATAAACTACTCGATGCTTAATTGCATCGTCCGAAGGTTCTTTTCGCTTGATCTCCTACTCGCGTGATCGTATGCCACACGTCCATTATAAGCTGAACCCTATTTAATATCATTGGCCATTTATAAATGAGGTCAACTTACTTTGGAGTCGCAAATTTTGGAATCTTATTTTTTTATTTTTCATCACACAAATTATCATTTTATAGACAATATTAATTCGTAGCTCGGTGGCGCTATGGATAAGCGCCGCTGCACACGATCGATATTGCTGAGCAATTTTCGCAAGAGTTGTTCACGGGATGGGTGACCAAAAATTATTAAACAAAGGCCTGAGGCCCTGCAGTTTGGCTGTCAAAGAGTTAACGATGATGATTAATATATCAAAGACGAACACGTCACTTCAAATTGACATAACTTTTTTATTTGTGAACCGATTGAAATAAATCTTACACTAAATGTTAACGGAAGAATGCCGCAATATATTGGGTTGGCACAAAAGTAATGAGACCCACTAGAAAAATCTATAACATTTCCTTTTTAAAATCAATTTTTTCGATAATATTCTAGAATGTTGTAGAACATTCTAGGTACTTCTGGTGTAGGGTATATAAAGCCGCGCTCGCGATTTGTTTAGTCAGTTTGAAGAAAAATGGACGAGCGACAAGTTCGAACACTATACTTATACGAGTACTTGTTAGGCCACAGTGCGCGGGCTGCGGCTGACAATATCAACAATGCATTAGGCGCTGGAAGTACAAGCCATGCGTCGTTTGACCGTTTTAAATCAGGAGACAGGAGCCTTGAAAGTCAGCCACGCTCAGGGCGACCACCCGCAGTGAATGATGACGATTTGCGCCGCGAACTGCAGTTGAATCCGGATGCTACCACTCGTGAATTAGCGGAAGCACTTAAATGCAGTCACCACGCCGTGGAACACCATCTGCATGAGCTTGGTTATCGAAAAGTTTTGGCTCGGTGGGTACCGCACATCCTTACAGACGCCAGTCGTGCAGTCCGTGTCTGTCAGTCACTTTTGCTGCGACCCCGACGTAAAGAGTTTTTGTCAGATCTGGTTACTGGAGATGAATCATGAATTTATTACGAGAACGATACACGTCGTGCTTTTTGGCTGCCTCGAGAAGAAACGCCACCAACTCAACCGAAGCCGAGTCAAAAGAACCTCCGAAAAATTCTGCTTTGCTGTTTCTGGGATGCGCAAGGCATACTGTTTTATGAGCTATTACACAATGAAACTATAAACGCTGACAAATATTCAACCCAGCTTACCAAATTATCTGCCGCTATCAAGAAAAAACGACGAAGACGAGTCAATGTAGTTTTACTGCACGATAACGCTCGACCTCACGTCGCATCTGTGGTTCGCCGGCAGTTGGAGAACTTGGGCTGGGAGACGATACCCCACCCACCTTATTCCCCAGACCTCGCCCCATCAGACTATCATTTGTTTAGAGCCCTGAAACAGCATTTGCGGGGTAAACAATTTAATGATTTCTCTGACGTAGAGGCGGAGTTGAACAACTTTTTCGAGGCACAGCCATCAGAGTTCTGGGCAAAAGGCATCCAAACTTTGGCGGATCGTTGGCAAGAAGTCTTAGATACTAATGGTAATTACATCATTGACTAAACTTTTTTTATTGTAATAATAATAAAAAAGTAAAAACTTAAACCAAGTGTCTCATTACTTTTGTGCCAACCCAATAATAGAGAAAACTGCATTTAAATCGGTTCAGCCGTTTTTGAGATTATCGTGCACAAATGCACAGACAAACAGACAAAAAATTTTAAAATTCATTGTTTTGTATTCTATTACGCTTATAAATGTCCCTCATAGCAGTTTTTTTCATATATCTTCAATGTACAGACATCGATCGGTTACGTTTTTATTATAATATAGATTTGATAATAATTCTCTCTTGTTATTAGTATATCAAACTATTGATGGTTAAGTTTTGTGGTCTTACCAGAATTTTCCTGTTTTGGAAAAATGTCATTCTAGGTTAATACTGATATGTTCGCAAGAATAAAAAATAGTGTCCAAATTGAAAATATTATGACCAAGCATTTTGAAAAAACATGATTTTTAAAAATGAGTTTGATACGAAATCACAATCATATGATTACAAAAATGTATTTCAAAACGATTTTAACAAAAATATATTGCTTTATGTTTTTTTTTTTCAATAAAACTACGCTCTATATAATTGATTGCAATTAGTATTAAAAATTACCAATAGGTACTAAACCAAATGAAAAATTGACACATTCTCTCAAAGCAATTTATTATAGAGTTTCATATGAGACAGTAGAAGAGTACTATAGTGATAAAGAATACGACACTGAAGGATATGGGAAAGCAGGTCTCAAGGATCTTGGTGATACGGGAGCAGAGCGAGGGACGACGACGGCGGCGGCGTCTCCCCGCGTCCATTTTGAAACTGTAGCTAAAATACTAACAATTAACAGCAACCACCTGAAAGAGAATGAAATAATATATTCTGATACGACGTGACATAAAACGATGAATGAAGATAGGATGAATGAGATATATTCAAAAGTTGTTCAAAAATACTCGTATTAAATAAAGATATTTATCTATAATTTTTCTTTAGGATCTCACTGATAATTTATAGATTTTATTTTATACTTAGATTTTTGAAATTTCGTAACATACCTATATCATTAAATAATGCTGATAACTACTTACCAGAAGATGAGCAGTCGTTGCAACCCTTTTCTTTACAGGTACAATTTTCTTCACAGGAACCGTCTTTGCAGGAATCTGAAATAGAAATAAATTTATTGCACCACAAGAATCTGGAGTATCAGTACAAGGGGTTACCAATATCTAATAGGTATTAATTAACTTAACAATTTATTCGTCTTACAAGCTATTTACATAGAATAATGGACCCTTCCGGCAATTTTATGTGAGGCGGTCATCGAAAATATGTTGCACTTGGTTTTTTATAGGGTTGAATAAAAAATGATCATTTATGCAGACTCCGTTCGTATCCAGTTGACACAATTGTAAATTCAGAGCATGTCATTTTATCGCTGGTCATTTTGCGTTACAATTTTCGAGTTTTTAGAGCGAAAACTTTGGTCTGTGCGTTGATCATTGTTAGTTTTCATATATTTTTGCATTTGATAGAATAGTTAACTGCGGAGTATAGCTAATTTACAATAATTCTGATGGCTTTCTACAAGTTAACGCTTAATTCTATGATGTTTATTGAGATACCGATTTTTACCTTTACAGGGCTCACAAGGTGATGGCATGATGTCAGTTGGTTGGTAGCACAGTTTACTGCTGACTATGATTCCGTAGATAGTCGTTCAGATTATATAGTACCAACGATGCATAAAAACCAATAACTAGAGCAAGGCTGGTAAAAAATCATCGCTTTTGTGTATTTTCAGCGATATAAGTGTGATCCCAAAAAATTGAGCAAACAATAGAACGATATTATACACATTTTGCTGTAGTTAATTTTAAATTCTTTGTAATATAGATTAATTTTATTTTAAAAATAAAAAGTGGAATTTCAAATGAGCTAATAAAATTTCAGTTATTGGACTTTTTTCTCTTTCGGTAATCTTTGTGATCTTTATTGTTTGTGCGCTTGCTTTTATAGTTGTTATAATGAGAATTGTTACATTTTATGTAACGAATTTAATGCCATATTGCCAATTTTTATATACTCCCTGCGTGTTTTCTAGTTTTCGGTAAATATTCTGCGTGTAATCTAAATTAGAGTAAGTAATAAAATGTATTTTGTTAAATATTTAATATTATATAAACTTGTATTTTCACAGTATTTTTGTTTTATTTTGTTAGTAATTTACACTAAATATTGAAGACTTTTTTTATTAGGTAGGTTAACCACGCTTGACCTTACTCTTCGTGTAGGTGGTAGTGGTTTTGAGCCCTGATATTAAGCATGAGGTGCATTTAACCTGCGTAAGAAAAAAAGTTGTGTAAAGTGTTAATTGTTATTTATTTTGATAATTATATTAATTCGGAAGTCGGTACTAAGTGATGCCGATTTCTTTACTTTAGTAAATAAACAGTTTAGTTTTTTAGTTATTTTGTCTGATTCTAAACAAGAAACCTATCAGGAAGCAAATATATTTTTTTCCATCACGGAACAGTCAGTTCAGCAATTGATAGTTTCCGCACGATTTGTCGCAGCGTCCATGGTGCTACCTTGTCAAGTCTCCAATATTAGCCGTCGAGGCCTTCTGTTCATTAAAATCTATATTTAAATGTTAAAATAATATTATTCCAATCATTCTGGTCCGGAAGATAGTAAGAGTTGGAGCAATGGCGACCATCTGTGAAACAGTTCAAGGTATAGTATAAACCCCTTTCATTTTGTTTTTAGCAATCTCGAACAAGAATAAAATTGCTCGTGTATCTGATATATTGCACAATGGACCTGTCATTGTTTATTGCAGTTTGTAATATTTGGCTACTTATTCTATTTACAGAAGCATTTTTAGTGTTCGAAAGTCTTATGTGTATGGAAACCTTAATTCAATTACGGTATTAAAAAGTTAATTCTTGTAGGTTTGTTATATACCTACACCTGTCAATTCAAGTTAAAAATTACTATACCACACATAAAAATAATCGTAATACCTAACTAACCACTATCACGACCAGAATATCAAAATAAATCTGAGAAAGTTTATTTGTATACTATAAAAGGAAATAATTAAAAAAGTTTGTTACTTCAAATCATTATTATTATTATTTCGTTTCTATCAAAGTCTGGAAACTTACATGATACAACTATACAAATAATTATTTTATAATAATATTATTAAACCTATTGGTATAACCGATGAATTGATACAATATTTTAAGTCGTATAATTCCATGCTCATTGTAAACGCCTAATCACTGTTTATAAGTATGTACCTTTTGAACTTATTACCATTTTTTGTTGGCACCATGGCTTGTTATCCCTTCTTAAACTTGCCATTGGGATTTAAAATCCAACAGACAAAGGGAATGACAAAATTAGAGATCAGTTTATATTATGTGGGCAAAGACTCTTAGAAGGTTTCGTATGTAGGTATGTAACTAAATGTGTTAGGATTGATACATGTGAGTATCAACATCACTAATAAGAATTCCTTTTCCAGAAAAACTGTCACATAAATGCGAACCCAACTGTTCCTGCAAGATCGACTTCTGTCGACCAGGATGCCCGTGTAAAACAGAAACCTCCTACAACCGAACCATGGCGCTCATCTTCAATGCTTTAGGGATTATCGTCGCCATTATAGCCACTTACATGATCATCAGCACCGACTCCAAGTTGTACCTCATTTTCTGGGTCTGCTATTCGGTGCTCAGAAGAATGATGCTGAGATCCAAAAAGCATATGAAGTCTGAATGATTTATTAGCACCTAAATTGTTTTTAATATTTATTTGTTTATTTTGTAAGTTATTTATTTTTTCCGGGCCTGTGATTAAATTATTGTTTTTAAAGTTTAATTATTATCGGGCATTTTTTTATTTAAAAAATAATATTATTGGAAAGAACACAAAATACATAACTAATAGGTCCATTTATCAAGAGGTACTTTTTAACAAAATTCTACAAAAAGAGGGTAACAATGTGACGGAATAATTTGAATAATTAGGTTTTTTTTTTCAATGGTATTCATTCATACATAAATTACCAAGAAGGTCCTATTAAAATTCACTAGATTTTTATGAGGGTGCGTTCACCCAAAATCACTAACTTTCCACTGACTTTAGGAAAGATAACAATCACAAAAAAAAATTACTATTGTAATTATAATAATAATTAGTCGTTATAGAACAAAGCGAAGGCTATTAATTCCATGCATTGCGGTCCTTAAAATAATTATTAACTTTATAATAGCCTTTACTCATAAGTATGTTCTTTATAAGTGTACATTAATTACATTTTGTGGAACTTTATTAAACATATCAATGCATTTAACCAGAAATGATCCTCTGGTTTTTTGAAGTCTGAAACTTGGAACGCCAAGTTTATTTTTATTTCTTGTGTTAAGATTACGAACACTACTTTTTTTGTGAAAAAATCGTAATGTTTTCTTGCGTGCATAATATTTTCTTAGATGTATTGAGAGGCAACAGTCAAATTATTTATTTCTTTATATATTTCTCTGGTAGATTCCATCGACCGTAAATTATATATAGCGCAGACAGCTCTCTTTTGTAGAATAAAAATATCTTGAATGCTAGCCGCAGAACCCTCCAACAATAACCCATACGTCATTACACTATGAAAATAACTAAAATATACCAATCTTGCCGTTTTTAACATTTATCAAGAGTCTAATTTTCTTAACAGTAAAACCTGCAGAACTAAGTCTATTTGACAAGTTATTAATATGAGCCATACGCACGTTTTCGATTATGGAGATGACTATTGATTGAACATATATAGTAATCAGAAATATGTTAGCTAGTCGCCGTTCAATATTAATTACACGTTCCTACGCCATTTCGCCACGTTGTGCCTTCCACAGATGCGTTCATACTGCAGATTCTCTGTACGAACACTATCAGAAAGTCTAACCAAAGCCGTACAGGCTGGACGATAAATGCCTATTATCTAGACACGCGTAACTCGGTGACGTATTGGATAAACTCTGCGGTCCGTGATCGTTGTTGTTAAGCAACTTTCGCAAAAATTATAATCTCGAGCTATTCCGTCCAATCGGCATTGGGCTATCGTGAAAGGTCTGCATCCCATCCTCCTTAACCATCCGTACGGAATGCCTGAGCCCCAGCAGTGGGAACGTAAAAGGGCTAATGATTATCCGGATATGGATTTGAACCCAAACACGTCCATGTGAGATAGTGACTCCAGCTAATATGATGCCTCCCTCCTAATATATATATTTGCTATAAAAAACATAACGAAAAAAAAATTGAATATTTCTAGACATTCAAATGGGTCTTTATTTTTAAAGAAATTATGTAGCAGGTATTTTTAAATGATCTAGTTTTTTGTTTACAAACAATTTTGAATAAGGTTAGTGATTACCTTACAGTTAAGCTAGTGGGAAAAGCTAAAGCTTTCTTAAAATAATTTTATACCACTCTGCTTGAAAGTAGTTCTCGGAGTAAATTCAATTAGAGCAAAAGAGGTTTATCTCGCATCGTTCACAAAAAATGCCATTTTAATTGCGGCCATTGACCCCGAACCACGGCGCGGAAAAAAACTGCCACGAAAAGCCTGTTGATTCACCGCAAAAATAAATTAACGATTCTGAAAAGAATATTCCAATCACGGTTATAATTTACGCGACTTCAAAAAGTGAGTATTATACGCATTGTGAGAGAATAGAATATATTGAAAAAATAACACTTCAGAGACATTATGTTATTGTTACTCTGTTATAAGAACCTGGTATCTCATCGAACGCATAGCGCTGTCAAGACATTGTGGTTCAATCAAATAAAATTTAACCTAAAAATCTAAGATCCTAGCTAGTAC